TTAAATTTAATACGTGAATAGAAATATTTGGGTTTTAATGGCTTCAACTAAAAATGAAAATAACTCCCAGTTGCTACATTACAAATGTTCATGTGTCTCAGAATATTTATTTAGTTACAAACTTCAAACAATTGAATCAATAAATTATTTCTATAAAGCATTAGTTGATAATAGCATAAAAACAGCTAAAAAAAATTTTCATATTTTTTTAATTCGCATTAAAAGCTGCCCTTCCTGTAGCATCCACCGGAGGCTCCAGCAGTGAGTCAGTCCCACAGTTTAAACTTCACAGCAGAAAGAAACACGTTCAGTCTGATTTAAAAAAGAAAAACCTGATTTGGTCTCTGTAGATAATTTCTACCTTTATGACACATGTTTGTTTATTTTTTAAAGTCATCTGTTTAAAGTTCAACTTTATTGTAAAGTTTCAAACATATAAAAATTACAGTTGGTGATGGTGCCTACTTCCATCTTTTATATACAGTCTATGATAGGCGCGCAGAGAGAGAATAACAGTAAAATATGATTTTATTTGAACTGTTAGAGTCTGAGGTGCAGTCTTGTGTTTTCTTTTTGGGGATCTCTTATTGGTTCACCTTTCTTCTACCTGATTGCGCGCACCCGGTGTGGGCACGTCCGTGCGCTCGCGGTAACCCGCTCTGCAGGTTCGCCCGGAGAGTCAGTGCCTGAGTGCTCCTGCAGCGAGCAGCTGTGCTCCTGCTCACACGGCGGACACCATGAGTAAGTCCAGCACGCTCAAAGTCCGGAAACTATTCAGCCTCAAATCACCGGAGAAGGAGAAGAAGGAGCTGAAGAGGTCGGGGTCCCTCAAAGATGTAGTGGGTGCAGGGACCAACCCCGCGGACATCCCGGGGGGGCTACCCTGGAGCCCCGGCTCTCTCAGCCCGGGAGACAACCCGACTCTACCCGGGGACTCTTCACTCAATTCCCCGAAAGAAAAGAAGAAACGGCGGCTGCTGCCGTTCAAGCTGAAACGGAAGAAATCCAAAGACAAAGACCGAGGAGGAGGAGGAGGAGGAGAGGTGTTCTTCCCTGACACCGATGAGCTGGAGAGCTTCAG